AAAGCAATTGGAACCAAAGTGATAATAACAGACAGTTTAATACTGCACACAGAATCAAGATTCATCAGCTCTATGTTCTGGAGTTCATTCCTCCACATATTTGTATGGATTTTCGAAAAAAAATCACAATGCAGATAGTTTGTGTTCCAAATGCAAAAATAATGGAAAAGTCAAGTTATAAATTTTCTGCGGATTCGTGCTCAAACGTGCGCTACAACTATCCCCTCTCTGACACATGATGGTTTTGTACAACGTTTGCCTGGATACAAATGTAAAATGAACAGCTCGAGGATATTCCCTCGTTAGAGGAATGAGCTATGAACAACGATTAGATAACTACTGTCTGCATTCCACACTCATGGCAACTACACTGAAACACGCTAGCTAAAGGAAACATCCCAGGTTTGAATTCCGATGGGTTCACTCAACCTTTTACCCTTTTGAGGTTAATAAAATGAACACCGTATCTAAAAACAGGATTTAACCAGCAGAGGTAAGAAGTCGACCCTTTTTTATCCATCAAAGAATCCAGCTCTTTTCAAAAAAAATGAGTTCATTGTCCTGGCCTCAATCACCCTTCCCAGTAACCTTCTAGTCGTATAACTTACCCTCCGGGGAAAGAAATACTTCCTGGTGACTGCCCTGAAACTGATGTCTGCAACCCTAAACCTGTAACCTCTAGTTTTGCTGTCTCAGCGCACCTGAATGCAATATTCTGGGCTTACTTCTCAATCCTATTTATAATATAATGATCCTTTGCATTTGATATAACGCCTTATCACATCTTCAAGACGTCTCAAAGCGTTTCACAGAATCCCGTATACTGAAAGTGTGGTAACTGTGTATTTTATGGGCAAAACGTGGCAGTTGAAGACTGAAGACCCCTGGCTTGTCTAATTATTGTTCCTATCTCAATCCTCTAAGACTTGGGATCATCTTCCTCTCGGGCCTTATGTAGTCGTGACCGTAACTGTGTGAAGTACTCTGGGAGCGGTCTGATGAGAGCAAGCACTCTACAGCTTGAGAATGACTGTAAGGGGTTCTGAACGCAACCAATTTGCAAAATCTCTTTCCTGTCTTGGTATCTGGTCACATCTAGAACCGTAATGTCTGCCCCTTCGACTCGCTCAAATAATGCATGCTTAACAAAACGCAAAGTACTGCAGATGCAGGAAATCTGAAACAAAAACAGAAGTGGCTGGGAACACTCAGCGGGTCAGGCAGCATCTATGGAAAAATAGAAGCTGACTGACCTGCTGAGTGTTCCCAGCCACTTCTGTTTTTGCATGCTTAACAGATGGCCTTGAATGTTGTTTCCACCTTCAATGGATGGTACAAGCCAGAAGGAAAACATGTTTTAATTGTTTCAATATCAATATTCGAGCTGCCATCCAAAGGGTAAAAAAAAATTGTATACAGTACGTTTTTAAAGAAAACTAATTCCCTATCTTATCACAGTAAATGCTCTGCGTGGGAGCGCTTTGAGATGTTTCGAAGACATGATAAGGTGCTATGCAAGGAATATTATTATTATAATAATTGTAATTATTATAACCAAAGTGAACCAAAATGAATCCTTTAGAATGTTTTCTAATTTAGAAAATATGACCTTATACAGGTATCAAGATGCAGAAATATAACCCTTATTATGAATGAGGTTAAAGAAACAGAGGCAATATTCACGTGCACATTTAATGCTGGAAAGTACTCCATAAATCAACACACAAAATAAGTTATTGGTAAAAGAAACTTGACCAAATTAAGGATCAATGCTTAGCATATGACAAACACAGTGGATTTCATACTCTATTAAACCACACAATACCTTAAAACACTCTCATGCTCTGAAGAGCAAACATGGAGCAGCTAGTTTAAAATGTTTCTCTAACAGTTCGTGATCATTCACACCAGAATCTTAACATTAAATAAAATAACATGGGAAATAGTAATAATTACACAATGCTAAACACACAAGATAATCAAGAGCTTTAACAGGTTCCCAGCAAGGACTACTGAGCCCAATAAACTTGCCTAATTAAAAAAAAACGATGCTGCAATGGGAAATTCCATTTTAAATGATATGACATCCCATGTTACAAAGGTTAATTTGCTCTGGAGTTATACCCTATGGGAAAATTTGCATAAGACGTTCCCTTGTATTATTAGTTGTGGTATAAAACAGCTCTATGTTACCTTATACTGGAATAAATGTAATCAACATTTTTTCACTATTCCATCAAGTTAATTTACTGGGAGAATGTCATCTGATGGGATAGTCTTTGAATTTGTCCTAAGATCATGTGGGAGAATCCATCACTTAATGATCCTCTGTACCATGCTCAAGTCCTCCGGATCTAAGTAATTACACAATAACAGAAGGCAATACTGCTCCATGTGACATTCTGTAATCAGTATTTCTTTACATATGAAAAAAGATTATTTTAACAAAAGAGAGATGGTAACAGAAAGAATCGTGACATACTTGTTGGGTATTTTAATAAAAAATACTGATTAATAAATTGAAAAGTTTATGAATTTGACCTGACAAACTTCTCAGAAGTATAAATTTACCAGCAGCAAAAACTTAGCAGAGAAAACTCATCTTTAACCAGTAGTATGCATTAATATGAAAGTCAGTAGTTTAATAATGATCTTGTTTTATAAATTTACTCGTTTCTAAACCTGAACATTAAGAATAATGCACCAATGCAATCTTAATTTTGACAATGAGCACAAGATATTATACCAGACAAATGGCAAATGGCCATTGGTGGTGCAATATGAATACAAGCTACAAATCACACGTTTACTGTATATCATACAGCAAAATACCATATCAGAATAACTATGATGATGAGATTGCAGCTTTTTCTCCAAACACAAGTTAGGTCAATTTCCTCAAGTGTTTTCATTTCAATACATTTAAAATGGTAAGTATATTTGAACTAGTACAACAAGATTACATTTGTATAGCGCCTTTCACGTCGGGAGGACGTCCCAAGGTGCTGAACAGTGTACAGACCCAAGTTGGGGTCGTGGTGGGGGGGGGGGGAAGGGAGGGGAGGGGAAGGGGGTGGCCGATGGCATGGTCGGAGAGGAGACTCTTGAGGCAGGACTTGCAGGAGGCTAAGGAGGGAGCGAGGCGGAGTGATTGGGGGATGGAATTCCAGAGGTTGGGGGCAGAGTGGCTGAAGGCTCTCCCACCAATGGTGGGGCGGATGGGTCGGGGGACATAGAGCAGCCAGAGCCGGCTGAGCGGAGGGAAGAGGTGGGTTAGTAGGGGGTAAGGAAGTTGCAGAGGTAGGGTGGGGTGAGGCCATGGAGGGTTTTGTAGATGAGGACCAGGATCTTGAATTGGATCCTCTGAAGGATAGGGAGCCAGTGTAGTTTATTCAGCATTTTTGCCTGTGGTATCAACAAAATACATAGATAAAAATCAACGAAGGCGGCAATTCAATTATGTGGTTTTGCCATCGTATTTCATTAAAGCAAGAATTACCCAAATTACGAGACATATCATCTTATATTCTTCATAATGTGGTCAACAATCTAAAGTTATCTTTACTACTTAGTCTTCCAAATATTCATCGGTACACATACTGAGAGCAAAGTGTGTGTTTGGAGGGGGTGACCATAGGCGAGATCAAACGGTAGGTTTGCAAATGGGATTTAAAGATAAAAAAGGGCCTGAGGTGGAAGGATTAAGGCAGGGAGCTCCACAGAATAGGGTGTAATGATTGAAGGTATGGCAACTGATGGTAGCATTGGAGGGGAATCAGGAGACATTCACCTTGGCCTGTGTTAGCTGAGCGATGGGGCTGAACAAAGCAGTGGGGTACGAGCAGGTCAGAGAGGTAAGGTGTGAAGGGAATTGTGTAGAAGCTTAACTTGGGATCAGAAGTTACACAACATCATTCAACTGATAATAACAGGATTGTTCCCCAACAGGCGACTGCCAGGAAATACCCACGTAACAAAATACAAGATAAGCAATGTTATCAGATACACCTTCATAATCCATGTACTAGGAAGTGTTTCCTTGATGGATTCGACTGAGTACAGTACCTAACCGTAACCTCTTTTTAATTAAAACAATTATGTATGGATTACTTGATTGATTTGTCATTTTAGATCTTTAATTTGATCTACCATTTACTCTCAATCTAACAACCTACTTTTCTAAATTCTATTTATTCTAAACCATTTAGCTCACAAATAAATAAAGAAAATAGCTACATTTCAGGGGGAGGAGAGTATCTTCAGTACGTTAGATCCTATTGCACTATTGCCACACACCCAGTAGAGTTTCACCTTTTGTTTGGAGTTGAGGTACGGATCACCCATGATTAATAGAATGGCGTAACAGGCTCGATGGGCTGAATGGCCTACTCCTGTTCCTATCTTCCTAAGTTCATCTACACTTCAACAATATGCTTAATGTGCTCAACTACATTAGTTATCCTACTTTACGTGCTTTAGTATTAGAGATAACAATCACTACACTACTTTCACAGTTTTAAATAATAACAATCAGAATCCACCTTTCTAACATCTCAATTTGTATTAATGCTGTCAATGAATTTATATAATTCACAAATGATTATCTTAACGTGCAATACTAAATGCCTCCCTCAACCATATATTAAGACAATGTCTTACGGCAAAAAAAGCAAACAGTGGTGTAAACATATTTAGATTTGAACAGCAACGTCTCAGTTATGAGCCATTTCAGATTTGTAGAGAGAAAAAAGGTCTTAAAATAATAATAATCCTTGGATTTGATATAGCGCCTTATCATGTGTTTGAGACGTCTCAAGCGCTTCACAGAATATATAGTAAAGTGGATTGACTGTGTTTTTTGTGGGCGAAACGCAGCAGCCAATTGCACACTGCGGTATCCCACAGGCAGTCATGGTTTGAATGACCAAATTATTATTGTTAATAAAATATGAATATGACAGAATATAAAATGAACATTTTAAATGCTTTTAAATAAAATTATGCTTTTAGCAATAAAATAAGACAACTTTTTAAATAACAAAACAGTAGTTTTAAGTTGACACAATTATTAGAGGATAGAATAATAAGTTAGGCTTTAAACGCAAAACTGATCATCTAAAGAGCAGTACCTTTTGAAACCATAACAGTATCTTGTCTAAGAAGAGTAATACAATTTTAATAAAATACTATATTGAAGACTTCAATTATTTTCTATTGTAACAGAGACCCCATTGTGAAACAATCTGAATCTTCTACATAAGCAAGTAAACATTATAGTTAAAGTGCAGTGTGTGGAGACATTACTATGCTGTAAGTGAATTTATATCATTGACAAATTATTGAAGACCTGGAGTGCAGAGTCAAACATACTTTTACAGCCATTATATTTAGGTTATTCTGGCAAGCCACAGCAAATTCAAATAGGAAATACATTTTTCATTAAATATTCTCTAATAATTCTTAATTATTTTTCACTTTCTTCAGTGCTCCCAGGCTTGATGTTTGTGGGCGGATCTGGAAAGGTATCTGTGTTTTGGATGTTGATTCTGCTCTGGTCATCCACTTTTTTGATGGCCTCCTGGATGGTTTGTTGATCTCCCAGAAATATATGTGGTTTAACAGCCCTAAGGTTTTCATCTAACTCCAAGAGCAATGGCACGCAGGTAGGCATAGTCACACTGATTATCTGATCATCTTGGATACCTGAGGAAAAACAGACAGAAGTTCAAAGTTAGAGAGTGGCCATTTTAAAGCTTCTGGTCTCTGCAACTCTCTGCCCAAATCCCAGCACATTGGGCCTTCCCTCCGCCTTGCCCCCTCCTTCCCCCTCCTCAGGTCGTGTCTGAAGATCTTCCTCTTCGGCTGTGCCAACGGTCACCTTCACCCTCCACCCAGCTCGGCGTTGTGTTCTGCCACTGCGTGAGGGGCACTATATCAACGCAGGTTCTCGTTGTTCTCTCCCTGCCTTCAAAACCATCATAGAATCACACAACTGGGCTTCTGGTCACCCTTATACTCCTCTTCTACCCTCCCTGTTCAATTGTCATCATTGTCATAGTAAGGAACTCCAACGTCAAAGGTGCTGCATAAACCCAAGTTATGGTTTCAATGCCCATTTATGATTTTCATCTGCTTAAAATTTGAGGGAAACAATTGATGGATCAAGAAGAGGAAACATTTTCAAAGCATTACATTAAAAAATCTATAGTACCAAACAAAGTCTGTTTTAAATGAGCCCTGACAGAACCTGGCAGTTAAATGTTCTCATGCCTTGCAAAGGAGAGCAATTGCTTCACAAACGATCTGCTTGTTTGACAAGACCTTTTCCTATTAATGTGAGGAATATAAAAAAATTATATCACCATGTAAATACCAAAACAAACAACAAGGCAACTACAACATGATGCAGTCAAACAAGTGCAAACAAAACTCAGCTGTGATGCATTACCTTCCAGTTTCAATATTTGTACTTTAAAGAAAAACATAACCCAATTAACTTTGCTACGTTTGATTGTCAATTAGTGTTTACTTGCACTTTGGGAAAACAAGGAAAAACATACAATGTTCTTTTGACCCTCACCCCCTCAAAATTATATCAAGTCTTAACACTAGATTAAAACAGTGTGTTGACTTTTCGTACTTTTGACTTTTAACTGTTGTTACGATTCCTTCAATTGACTGTTGCATACACATTCATGACAACACAAGCATGACATTCAAAGAAGAAAAACAGCAATTTGTGCAGTTCAAAGTTAAAAAGTCGTTCGCATCGTCTCCAAAATAATAGAGAAAATAGATACAAGTAAGAGAGCATACAGGTAGGAATGACGGACTGATAGAGGATACTTACCAGATAAGACCGTAATAGGAACGAGCTGAGGATGGCAACATCTGTAAGTTCTTAGTTCCAAGGATAAAATACAGTTCTGCTGGACCTTTCTAAGAATTATTTGCTAATTTAGCTTTTGAACTTGATTACTATTTTAAATTGGGTTCATTGCTCTATTAATGCCTGTTCTAGAAATTATCAAATGAGCCTACATTTTACTGGTTCAAATTGCCGTTGCCCCAATTTAAAACAATTCAGCCTGTTTCATGCTGAACTCGTGTAGAGGAAAGAATGCTACACAGAAACGTGTCGCAGTATCTCATCAGAACCTGGTGAATTTGTCCGGGTACATCAATTGCCTAATGGCAATCTGCACAATGAATTTTAGTGACAAAAAAATGCTGTACTAAAGTTCACGTTTATTCCAACAGCAACACAGAATAAAATAAACCATGCATTTGATACAGCACCTTATCACGTCCTTGCGACGTCTGAAAATGCTTCACAGAATATACCGTAAAGTGTATTAACTGTATATATTGTGGGCGAAATATAACAATGATGAACATAAGAGAGAAAATAACACGTTACGTTACCAAGAATACCACTGTCCTCTTAAATGCAATTGAAGCAGAACTAATGCTATAAATAGGTGTCCTCTTGGCTCAGTTGGTAGAATCTTACCTCTGAGTTTGCCTGTTCTGGGTGCAAGTCTCAAATCAGGACATTGAGCTCATAATCTTGACTGCCATTGCAATAAGCACTGGATTTTCAATGGTGCTATCCTTCAGATAGGACTTTTAACCAAAATGCCATATGCCTGTTTGAAAAGATTAGGAAGCTTCTCCTGGTGTCCTGGCTAACCATCCTCCAGTTAAATTGTTCACTCACTTCACGTGGGACATTGCTGTGCGCAAACTGACAGCTCCTTTTCGCCTAAAAATACAGATCCGAAAAAGCTCCGAGATGTTTAATCAATGCGATAAGGTGTCATACAAAAATCCTGTGATTATTATTGTCAGTGTTATGATCAAGCCAAAGAGGCAAGTCCATTTTGGGCATTTAAAAAAAAACTTACCAGGATCTTCATTAAACTCATACCATGGCGAAATGCATTCTGAATCATACAATTTCATTGCTATATATTCCAAATGTATTAAAGTGTTCTGAACTTGCCTGTTTACTGAGTGCGTACATCTTTATTGCTTTGATGTTGCTGAATTTTATTAAGCTGTATCTCGGAGTGGAGCCAGAGAGAAAAAAAACACTCGTTTCATAGAGCATTTAAAAAACAAAATGCTTTAAATGAGGCAAAATGTTGCCTTGTATTTGCTTGCTTTTAATAAGACATAAAAGGTTAGTTTTTTTTTAAGGAAAGAACTGCATCCCATCACCTGATACCAGTCAGGTATAACATACTATATATGGTATTGTCACCAGTATAGATTTCAGGACTGCTATAACATCCAGCGATGGTTGAATAAATACTGAAGGTACTGAATTATTAAAGCTCTTATAATGCTGACAGCACAAATGCAAATGTTTCTCCTAACACTTATTCACAGTCAAAACTGCTTGTGCAACTAAAAATTATACTTTGTATATATTCAACCTGCCCGATGGTGGTGGTGATGGTGGGGACGGTAAGAAAGAGAGCGAAGTTGTCTCTTGTGCAAGTCTCATTATGGAGTTTCGTTCCGTTAAGAGTTTCGTTAGAGCCCCTTCTGGAAGACTTCAAATGTAGAACTAGACATATCCCGAGCAGCGATGTGGGCCACCCCTTTGACAGCACTGCATGTTCTACTGGTTTTGCAGTCTGGAAAGTGTCAGCTGTCAGGCAAAGTCTAATGCTCTCTTACAAAAGTTGATCAATTTGGGCCACAGATGGAGTCTAACTTTTATAGGCACAGGCATTTCCCCTGGTATATTTGGTTAAATATTTGGCTCATCAGCAGGTCTTACTGGGGCAAACCAGTCAATGGGGGCAGAGATTTTTCCCATTCAGCTATGGTAACCACGCAAGCCGTAGCCCTAATGGGTAATGTTGATCTTTGCTTGAGAAGTTCTTGAGCGAAGGCAAGTGCATAAATTCAAAGCCCCGATGAAGATAAATTAGCCAGCCACCAGGTTCCTGCTGTTACTAACTCAAGGAGCTAAATCAATGAAGGGTTTCCAATCCTTATAGAGTAAATTTTGGTGAATAACACCACAGTCTGACTTGTCATCAGTTATCAGATCTTGTCGGGCCTGAACCTAGCATATTTATCTTCCCACTTTCTGTCCAATTCAGCTTGCATCTCGCAGTGACAATCTGATCTCTATCCATTCCTCTGATCAACAAAGAAGAAACTTTCACACTGGATATCCTGCAATAAAAATTCTTTCAAGTCGGGAGGACTTCTCGATACACACTGTAGGCAACACAAGGGGAAGCCAAATGGAGTTATTCATCTTATATTGCAAAGATACAGTAACAACAAATGTAATTACTCCACCTTTTTAATATAAAAGAATCTCTAAAAACACTTGAAAATAGGCTGAACCAAGCAGCTTCAAAGATAATAATACTAATCCTTGCATTTGATATCGCGCCATATCATGTCGTCGAGACGTCTCAAAGCACTTCACAGATTATACTGTAAAGTAGATTGACTGTATATTTTGTGGGCGAAACACGACAGCCAATTGCACACAGCAGGGTCCCACTCACAGTCCTGGATTGAGTAACCAAATTACTATCCTTTTTATTTTTTTAAAAGGGATTATTACCCCTTTGACAATAAAGATCTTGGGCAAAGGCAGAATTGCGGAGATATAGTGATGTGTTAGAATTGTCTGGAATGGAAGATAAAAGCTAAGACAATGGAGGAGAATGGAGTGACCTGAAGTGTTAAAGGCAGCGGAGAGATTGAGGGGTTGTAAGTCATGCCTGAGACGCTCAATGTTATTGGTGACTCGGGGCAATCTCTGCTGAGGGCAGGTTGAAAAATCTGGTACTGCAAGGCCTCAAATCCAAAAGTAAAAGTAAAAAGCAACGAATCTCTGCAATGCACTGCACAAGTCCATTCTTTGTCTAATTATTCAATGTCAGTCTAATGGTGGAGGAAATCCGTCCGTGCAAATACAGTACTCCTATTGCCCTCTGGTGACAGAAATTGGACACTGCTTTTCCAAGTAAGGAAGGTCAGAATGATCACTCTTCACAGACCTGCATGTGTTAGTCCTTTGACTGACACTTTCATGGCCTGACAACAGTGTGCAAAGCAAGACGAACTTCACCATGACACGTCCAAAGCAGCCAACTGAGGTACAGGTAAGGTAGAACGATCATTTCAATTGAATGGAGTTGGCACACCCAACGGATTATTTCCATGGAACAGAACGTAAGGTAAACAGATCTTGCACTATTTTAATTTTGCAGACTAAATATTTAAATCGCAGCGTTTATGATGTAAACTGTACATGCTCCAATGCTGGAACTTACACCGTGGGCAACATTCTATTTATGCTTTGGCTCAAAGTAATTTTTGCTGTAAGCTTAAACAGGTTTTCCATCAATTTCAGGCACGGGGTGAACAAACAATCTCCATATCTTGTTTCTTCCCACTTCGTTCCCGTTAACCCTGCAAGTCAAAACAACTAACGGTATGGATGGTTCTAGCTGGACAAGCAGCGGGTAGCACGCCGGAGAGTGCTTTCAATGGCAAGTTGTGCGATACTTAGCTGATTAGACGCCAGCAGTATCCACCCACACACACACACACACACACATCCTAAGCCTTAGCTCTTGCCAACATGTACCAAATACTAAGTAAGTGGGTGCGTCCCTCCATTCCAGATATGGAAATTTACATGTGTAAGTGGCATACATGGA